AAAAAAAAAAAAAAAAAGAAAAAGAGAAAAAAGAAAAAAGAAAAAAGAAAAAAGAAAAAAGAAAAAAGAAAAAAGAAAAAAGAAAAAAGAAAAAAGAAAAAAGAAAAAAAAGAAAAAAGAAAAAAAAAGGTTCTTTAAAACATATGATTTGAAATAGATATTCTTTTTCATTTCTATTTAAGAAAGTTTGAATAGAATGCTTATCCTTTACAACGAACTGTCCAAAACAAATCACAATTTATACTGTGCCCAAAAAACCTTAACAAGGTGTTGTCAGAATTTGATATAAATTTCAAGTCTGCGATTGGCCAGAATCACAAGTGAAACAAAACTCCAAAATCTTGGTCTGGCAGGAAACCGTCTGGTAAGCTTTGAAGCACAGAAGTACAAGCATGCCATAAATACGATGATTTGCTCTGATAAGCAATAGATTTGAGAATCAGCAGAGCACTTGCAAAAGTGATGAGCATGCAGTGATTGATGAGGATGTGTACTTAAAGTGTGCTAATGAACAATAATCCATCAGTGTAAACATATAATTTTGCAGTAATTACTTGTACATTAACATTTGATTTCATATCTTGTCAACCTCAAGAGGAAACATATAGCTGAAGAGAATTTCATTTGGATGACTTCTCAGTGGAAAAAATATCTTAAGTATTAAAAGAGCATAACAGGATGCATTATTTCCCCCTTTTCACACAGAATCACAAAATTGTAGGTGTTGTCCACTGATCACCTAGACCAATCCCCTGCTGTGTCAGGTTCGCTACAGTGGGTTGCTCAGGAAAACATCCAGATGGGTCTTGAATAGATACAGAGAAGGGGATTCCGCAACATCTGTGGGCAACTTGTTCCTGTGCTCTGTTACTCACAGTAAAAAAGTTCTTCCACATGAAAAACGCACTCTCCAACTTAGTAGGAGCTGTTCTGCTGAAGTCTGAGGTAGTAGATTGGATTATTGGTGGGAGAGCTTGAACTGTGTCTGACTTCTGCATAATTGCTGAACTTTTTTCTCTTTTGCTAAGGAAAAAAGTTCAGCAATAGTGTTCAGTTTAACCTCTGAAAATGCTAAGTCCTTAATAGTATCTGCAAAGCAAAAGAGACAGAAGACAAAAAGGCCATCTAAAGCTTGTACATGCTGAAAATGTGAAGATGGATTTTTACTCTAAAACTCTTAATTCCTGACAAATAATAATAGAAGTAACTAAATAGAAGGGATTACAGATGCTGATAATTGGCTTCTGTGAGAGCACATCACGAATACTGTAAAAAAGATATGAAAAACCAAATATGGGGCAAAATCCTCCTGCGCATTTCATGGAAAGAAAAAAAAAAAGACACAAAAATAGAGCATATCTTCAGATACAGCCCCAACACCAATGAGAGGGGAAGAAACAATTCCCTTAACCTGAATGATTTGAATGGTATGAATTAACAGTTACAGGCTGAATATTTAAACAATATAATTGACGATATTATTGCCAAATTCACCATCATTAATTACTGAGCATAAATTTTACAAATTGCATCACATGTACTTTTTACTTGCCTATATTTGTTTAATGCCATGGAGAACATTTCTCAAGACTAATTTATTTAGAAGGCAGTTATTAAATACACTTCTGCAGTGCTATCAGATGAAGAATCAGTAACTAAGGGTTATAATTAATGTTAATAAGGCTTTGTAAAAGTATTTTTCTAAGTATGAAATTACAGTGATACAATTTTTTTTCCTTTTTTTAAGCAAAAAGCATTAGAAAAAAAAGTGGAAAAAAAGAAAAAGAAAAAAAGAAAAAGAAGAAAACCATGGATGTAACAATTGTATAGAGCAATACAATATACTGTATACAGTGTATACTGTTTACGAGGGTGGATAGAGATAGGATAAGGGGGAATGGTCTTAAACTGAGACAGGGGAGGTTTATGTTAGATATTAGGAGGAAGTTTTTCACCCAGAGGGTGGTGGCACACTGAAAAAGGTTGTCCAAGGAGGTTGTGGATGCCCCATCCCTGCAGGCATTCAAGGAGAGGCTGGATGTGGCTCTGGGCAGCCTGGTCTGCTGGTTGGTACACTACACATAGCAGGGGGGTTGAAACTAGATGAGCATTGTGGTTCTTTTCAATCCAGGCCATTCTATGATTCTGTGATTCTATGATTCTATAGAATATTGTTTTTTCTGAATATTGGAATAGCTTTGCAAATATTACTGCATTTCATAGAATCCCAAATCTTAGAGCCAAATATTAACTTGCATCATATATGGTTCCTTGAACAAGGAACGTTAGCCACAATTTTACCGGTTGTGGATGATGTATATTCCTACAAACTCGTTATAAGATATTTGGATTAAATATTCCATATAGCCAGAAAATCATTTCCTGGAGTGGATTTCAAAGAAACATGGTTAAAAATGTGATACATGGTCTATCAGTTTGTTGAATTTGTCTTCCATGGTACATTTCCCAAGATCTATGAAACACCTTCTTTGCTAGCGCAAAACACAAGAAAAAAAAGTTTGACAGAAGAGGGAAAGATGACAAAGGAAACAATAACTAGAAGTGATTTCTTACTCTTCAATGTGCAGTACTCTAAAGAAGAGAAACTTATTAGGTTTCCTGGTTAGCTTCAGGAATGTCTAGGAAAAAAGATGTCCAATATTGATCTGTATTTCACTGCTCTGTTTTTAATGTTTTTTTAATGTGTTAAAGGATTTTTTTTAGTAATTCCAGAGAAATAAGATTATCATTGAATGTAATGCATATCAAAAAGTTGATTATGTATTAAAATTAATTTGACATAACGATACTGTTAAGTAAACTGAAAAAAGAGCTTCTAAACCCCAAGGAATAATAACCGAACTTTACAACTGAGACTATTCTTAAGAAGGCAGCAGTTTCATTAGAAAAATTTATATTACTTAAAAACATTTTTAACATTTCCATTGGCACTCTTAGGAGAAGAAAGAAAAATAATACTAATCAAGCTGACTGAGAACACTGCAAAAGAAAGAGTCCTGAACCCACAGATGAACCAAAGAAGTTACAGAAATGGTAAGAAATAGTACCAAAGTAGCATATGGAACAAGGTTAAATGAACAGATAATAATTTATTGATGTCAAAGCTTAGAGAAGAAAGATCATGATGAGGAATGTATTGTAAGAGTAAATAATTGGTCTCCGGAGATGGTAGGTTCTTATATAATGGTGGAGGTAATAAGGACTGCTCGGAACATAGTGCATTGTCTGTAAGTTGGTACATGAGAGCTGGCAGCAAAGGGGCAGTGTGCAGAAAGGCATGTGATATTTCCTTAATTAACGTGTATCTGGCATTGCTGCCCAGTGTCCAAGGTGAGGTGGATGGCAGCTGGTGACACATGGCCAATTACGCTTCTGAGAAGGCGAAAGTACACTGCGGCTGTCAAATGAGAAAACGAAAGCAAGGGTTCTTGTTACAATTCATCTCTACAGAAGAAGGGATCGGAGGAATTCCTTCGTCTTTATCACATGTAAGCCATATTTCTCACATTTGCTTCCTATAGTCAAACACAGAAAACACCTGTTAGGCCATATATTGGTATCTCCATGGCTGTATTTGCATGTATGTCTGCCTACGTATTTATATAATACATATATATATAAAGCCAGTCAGGGCATTATTAAAGGAATACTCCCCGGGGAGGAAAATACAGGTATCTTTTTCTGTGTTGGTTTGGGGAGCATAAATATCTGGGATCCTATTTCCTTCGTTAACGTGAATCTGGCTGCCCCATTTTGCCAGCAAACGTTCTGTGCTCTGTGATGCGACTGTGACGCTGTGGAACGTCTCCATGGAGACGTTTGTGAAGGCCCCACTGCCCGCAGCACGGGTGCCATTGTGCTTCCTGCTGCTGGTGGGAGGACAAGCCTTGTTGGCTGTGCGCTTCCTGCTGCTGTTGGGAGGACAAGCCTTGTTGGCTGTGTGCTTCCTGCTGCTGGTGGGAGGACAAGCCTTGTTGGCTGTGCACTTCCTGCTGCTGTTGGGAGGACCAGCCTTGTTGGCTGTGCGCTTCCTGCTGCTGGTGGGAGGACAAGCCT